CTGTTTTGTGAAACCCAGCTCCTTGCCCCAAACCTCTCTTGATACCAGCCCCAGACTGGCCCCCAACTGTAAACTACCGAAACCCCTGATATGATTTAAGGACAAGGATTTAGGGTTGAGGGACTAGGATTTAGGGTTGAGGGTTCAGGGTTTCTGAACCCCACAGCAACCAAACTTCCAAACAGCTTTACTCTGGGCCTCCTGTAAGCAGCTGAAACATACTGAACCCTGAAACCTATGAATCCTAAACACTAAACCCCTGAATCCAAAAGCCCGTTCATCCCAAAAAAGCCTGACACACTGTCCCGGGAAATCCGTAACTTCTGAAGTCTAGGCCCCACAAGGCATAAAAACCTGTCAACCCTCAATACCCTGAAGCTCAACAGCTTCACGACGATGATGATGACAATGATGATGACGATCATGATGATGATGATGGTGGTTAGGGTCTAGGCTTAGGGCTTAGGGCTTAAGGACTAGGGTATAGGGTTAAGGGTAATAGTCATTGTAGTATAGGCAGTCGGTAAGTATATCATGATCAGGTACTTGGACCCTTGAGGATATTTCCAGTAATTACCCTACAGCAAGTAGTGTTTCTTGGGCAGTTGAAACAAATCATATTAGGCATTATTTTAACAGAGTGCGGCAAACAAAAGATTCTCCTCATCCCCCAAAAATGTCCATCTATGCGACGTCCTATGATAACCGTGCTTGAGACAAACTATTCCTTCGAGAGACACTGTTTCTTCCAGCGCGACACTCTTGCTCGAACGCTGAAATACGAAGCGGTGAAACATGGGTGTCGGGTGTACTGTGTACTTAACCCTAAACCCTAAGCCCTAAAGCCTAAGCAACCTAACGTCCCTGAACTCTGCGATTCCGAGGTTTTAGGGTACTTAGCGCAGCCTAGGGTTTCCTGTGTCAAGCAACCTAGGTACGTGCAATATGAGAGCCATGCAGTTTAGGGTTTAGGTTTTAGGATTGTTTCTTGTAGTGATTTTCTAAGACTGTGAGATGTTGTGTTGTTACACCTCTAGATGTGCCCTTACCTATCAAGCAAAAATGTGTTATCTGAGGGGTTGCTTACTAATCAATAGCGAGCCACAGAGCTTGGCGTCTATGGGGTTTAAGGGTCTTAGGTTTTATAGGCGCGGTTTTTACCGTTCAAGGTTGGTGAGGTCTGGGCTTTTACAAGAATACAGGTTGTTAGTGTAAAAATGTTTACAGGGTCTAGGGTTTACAGGGTTTAGGGTCAAGCGTGAACACGAAGGAATCGTGACTATCATATATACATATACATATACACTTATCTTAAGGCTTTGTATGTGTGGTCTTCCCAACTGTTTTGGACAGCCTGTACACCGACAAATATTCTACAGCAACCCAACCCCAAGGGCTTAACATTTAGGATTCACCCCTAACCCCGAGACCCTGAGCCCCACACCCCAAGGAGGGCGGCGGAAAAGCCACTTGAAAGAGAAGGCTGCCAACTACTTGCCAACCGTGGTGTCTGTGAGCGTTGCCATCCAGGGCTTTCTCCAACTGTTTAGGTTTTAGGCTTTTGGGTTTAGGGTTAAGGTTTGTCGGTGGGAGAAACCTGGATTATATCAACGCTTAACCGTGTCATTTCGAAAACTCCCATGCGCATGAGCTTTTGCCACCATGGAGATGCACTACCCTTTCCTTGCTTGAGGGTGCATGGGACTGATTAAGTACTTACAACTGGGCGATAATCCTTCATGTCATCCACCAAACTGGCTTACATTCCATAACTCAGACATATAGAAGGTGAAAACCTTAGCTATCAATAGTTTCTGAGTGCCATGAACCCCCTAAGCGCTCAACCCTACACCCAAGTATGAGGATGAAATTGTGCAGCACCCTCTTTCTTCCTCATAGTGAGAACTACAGTTCTCTAGAAATTTGCAAGGGGTGCCAGTTTTCCTGTATCCACACTAGGGCTCCCAACGATGCAAATAATACATCCCCAGCGCCACGCCCAACCCACATGGAATGAAGCTTTCGCGGGTTCCGTGCAACAGGATGATGGTCCATCAGGGGTCTTCTTCTACAAGCAGCCTAAAAGTGGATCTTCTGCATTCAAAGAGATGGGAAGCCGTCAGTTAAGATGGTTTAAGGTTTAGGCTGGGTACCTTGCCGATTATTGGGATTCAGCCGTGATCGGATGTACAGGGTATAACTCACTCAAGTAAGATACAAATGCGATACAGCAAGCCTTTAAGGGTCCAAGGACTCAAATAGCAAAATACCAGGGTCCAGGGATTCAAATACTAGGGTCCACGGGCTTAAATACCAGGGTTCCAGGTTGCCAGAACCGTTGAGAGTAGGGTATGGTGTTGGGTTCCTTTGAACTTTCAACCATGATGTTAAAATTGACCTTTCCCTACATATCCCTGTAACTCTGCAAGAGAACCCCTAAACCCTAGCGCGAACATTACTTCAAAACATGCCTAAGCCCTAGAGTAAAAAATAAAATGTGGAAATACGGTGGAAACTAAAATCCTGCAAGACCCTATGTATTTTTCGTATCAACAGTATGGAGAGGTGTTCCATGATGGAGTGAAACACGCTGCTGCGCCGCGAAGCTCCCTAGTTTCAACGCGGACTAGGGTTTAGGGTTTAGGGTCTAGGGTTCAAGGACCCTACTGGAAGGATCTTTGACTTAGCAACTACTGATAAAAGTTGTTTATAACCCTTTCAGGCAACCTACAGTCTAGAAGTCCAGTTAGGGATACAATCAGTAGGGTTATAGCAAAACGAAAAGTATTCTTGGGGTTTCAGTTTAAGGTTTAGGGCCCTAAACCCTAAACCCTAAACCCCAAATCCGTTTCGTCGGTCAGGGTTTAGGGTTTAGGTGGTTTGGGGCTTAGGCTCCGTGCTTGAGGATACTGCGAGGTTTGAGTTTGGGTTTAGGATTCAGGGTAGGGTTTAGGGGTTTAGGGTTTAGGGGTTTAGGGGTTTAGGGGTTAGGGTTTTAGGGTTTAGGGTGCTATAGCTCAGGAGAGAGTATGACCAGAGATAAATGGATACATGTCCCCATTTGCTCAAGCTTCGACAGAAGTATGCTGATGGTAGTAGGGGCTGGGGGTTTGAGGAGTAGAGCTACCAGGCTCAAGGCGGAACTTGGAGGCAAGCCAGGATGCAGTTGACTTGAGCATTGAGTTGTTCTCTCCCGATGCATGCTAATGCCGGACCTCCACCCTGAAACCTAAACAAACCTCCACCCTTGATCCCCAAACGCAAGCTGGCACAGGAAGCTGTAAGATATTTACAACAGCCACAACCCGAAGGATCCAATGGCCCGAAGTAGGTACCATTTATAGACTTCAGGGCCCAAAGTGGGCGCTCTTTATAGACCCAAACCCTAAACCCCTAAACCCCATTATAGACCTATAGAGTCCCAGGGTGAAGGAGAACAAGCTAGGGAGCTCGTTGTCGCGGAGTTTGCAACCGCATCTGTGCACAGTCCCCCAATAGACCCGGATCAAAGGCCCAAATGATCGAAAGGACTAGAGTTCCGGGTTTAGGGGGAGGTTCATGGGACCTAGTAGATACCCCAAACCCTGTTTAAACTCCAGACCCAATCCGGGTTAGTTAGTCAAGCGGCTGAGGGTTCTGGAGGTTCATGCGGCCTAGTAGATACAACACTTGGTCAGGAAGTTACCTTGTGTATCAAGCCTGACTACACGTAGAGCTGAGTCATTCCGTCCGATAGTTGGGAGCCTTCTCCCAGAACTCCAAGCGCCTAAAACCCAAACTCTAAAGCCTACGCCTTCCATCCAACAGACGTCTTCGACTGCAAGGTGAATAGGGGGGGGGGAAGGGGGCAGCGGGCTACAACAAATATGTTTACTTGAGTGCCCCTTGGTCGGTCAAGTTGCTTTCTGGTCATTTCGGGGACTGCCCTGTAAAGTAGGGGCCGTATGTTATAGACTCTACACCCTAGACCCTAAACCCAAACTCTAAACTCTAAACCTCAAACTCTGAGCCCTGTTTACACTATACACACTAAACCTTAAAACCTAAAGTCTAGACCCTACACAAAAAACCTTCAACCCTAAACCCTGAACCCAAATAGTAGTTTCCATGTTCTTTTCCATTATCCCTATATAATCCCTATTACATAACCCCATATAAACCCCACATAATCCCTATATAACCCCTATATAACCCCAAATAAACCCTATACAGCCTAAGAAGATATAGACCCGCGACTTCCTAAGGCATGGGAGACTCGCCTCCCTGGCCAGATGTCAGGATCCGAAACTCCTCCTGGTTGTTAGGGTTTCTATGGTTTAGGGGTTTAGGGTTTGGGTTTAGGGATTATATGGGGTTGTATAGGGGTTATATAGGGTTTATATAGGGGTTATATAGGGTTTATATGGGGTTTACTCCCATTACTTAGGGTTTGGGGGGGTGTCATTTTGGCTTTACAAATGTAAAAATACGGAAGTTTGGGTACCCTCGTAATGGTAAGTCTACATGGACTGTAGGGTTTAGGAATTAGGGTTCAGGTTTTAGGGGTTCGGGGTTAGGGTTTAGGAATTAGGGTTCAGGTCTTAGGGGTTAGGGTTTAGGAATTAGTGTTCAGGTTTTAGGGTTTAGGGTTTAGGAATTAGGGTTCAAGTTTTAGGGGTTAGGGTCTACCTGGAAAGCCTGGTGCACCTTAATGAGGTGCAACTGGGCATAGTGGAGGGTATTCGGTGTCACTGATGAAAAGTGGACCCTTATTCGCCTGAAAGGTTCTACCAGCACGGGCATACATGAGTGATGTCATGGCCTAAACGTTGTAAAGACCCAAGGTACTTCATGAAGGTTCTGGATGCATCAAGAACCCAAATAAGATGCCAGCAAGAAGGCACAACAAGCATTAAGCCCTAAAAGCCTGAATCCACGAAACCTTGGGATGGTCCGCAGCTGCAGCGTCGGGAGCAGGACACTGCATTGTTAGGGAAAAATGGGAACAGCACGCATTCCTTTTACCACCGTAAGCCCAGATTCAGGAAGTAGCGCTGGATGCTACGTTCATGAACAGTCCGGATTGACACCTGCCTCGACTGTCCTGAAATCCTACCGATAAAGTCTTCGTCAAGCTGGCACGAGTAGGCCAGGACATTGAGGCTGGGATCACCTTTCGAGCACGCTTTCCGCATGTAATGCACCAAGTGGGCAAAGAAGTGGAACTTGGGCATGATCTTGAAGCGGGGTACCCCAAGGTTCAAGGATTCAGCTGCCGCATGATTGAAGGCTTTCATGAAGTCCATCCCCAGGTCAGCGATCTGGCCAGCATCAACTGCCTCAACCCACAACGGCTGATGGTAGATGGACGACATAAACTTGTTGATAGCAACTAGGCCATCGTAGATCACCTCCAGGAAGCTTTCTTCCTCTATCCCACAATCCGCTAACACGCAGCCGTATAGAGTCTGCAGGTATTTTGCAAGCAGTGTAGTGTCAGCTCCTTTGAACCATCTCCTAGGTTCGTGGGTGAAGACTACAGTACATCCGTAAATGTGTGATGTAATTGTGGGAAACCATATCTAGATTATAGGGATGGACCCATTGAAAAAATACTACTTAAAAGCAAAGTCGCCCTACTGGATAATCTGCCATCGTATCCAGTCCCAACTGGTCCTTTGTGAGGGCCGTCATGTGCAAGTATTGGTGGTTTTGCTTCGCCCACTGCTTGAGGTTACCGTAAAAGTAATCCAGGCGCTTCTCAAAGGCCCCAGCTCTCAAGAAATCAGAATCAGCGAGAACAACCTTGGCTGGGCTTTGCTACAAAAAAATTGCAAATATTCTTTAAGATCTCCACTCCCTTCCCCCAAATTCATACGAGTTTCAATGGCCGATGCCACATAGTCAGCAACAACTCCCTTGTGACAAACGTGAAAGAGATCTATGGCATAAAAGCCTGCAAGGTTGTTCTTGTCCTGCGGTATGTTACTCAGTGGCGACGGCGTTGTCCAGGGCAACGGAGCATCTCCAAACAGCCAAGGCGCAGCATCATTGAAAGAATTCCAGGGGTATCCGATTTGACCAGCGCGGCAAAGGTGGCAAATGCCACTCGGACAATCAGAACATGGGGCGTCTCGCAAAAAATGTCGGACCAGGCGACCAGCCTTTGTAATGGCTGGCCAATCTCCTTTCACTGCAAGAATCACTGGATACAGCCGTCTCATCCCAGGAACACCATCTATTGGGATCCCGTTGTCAAATGAATTCGTGAGATCCTCCTGCCAGGCCTGAAACAAAGCGTAGAGCACAGTTCGTTTTTTGACATACGTCCGGCCCAACAGGACCGAAAACAGTAGTCGCGACAAGTATGTGCTGCCTAAGAAGTTATGTCCCGGACTTCGTTTGGATCCTTTGCCACAAACAGTTTGGACACTCAACACCATTATACTTTTCTTCTTGTGGGATGTCCCCTCGTCCAAATGCAACATCATTGGTAGGCATTCATGGAGACGGGACGAATGCCTCTGATATACGTCATGCCCTGGGCATTGTTTTGCGTATTTCGCCCAAAAAGACTGCAGTTCGGCTGGCCCATTTCCAGCCAGCAGATGCATAATCTTGCCAGACTTGTTAAAGGCCCCCACCAAATCACGTAGTTGCACAAACGGATGCCGATGTTTCAGCCCTATGTCGCAGTAGCTTACAGCAACATCTGCTTGCAAGCCATACTCCTGGAAGACCTTGGGCACCCTGTTCTCATGGCCAGTGCTACGCAATCTTTCCAAAGAAGAGACAAAACCAGATGATTCGATTGGATCTTTGTCGCAAAGTTCATGGTGCATGGATGCTGCGATTTTGCAGGCATGTTTCTCACTTACCTCGGAGTCCCATAGCTGAGTTTCTCAAACGATTTTGTGAACTCGGAAGTGTCAGAGCAAAATTTGCATAAACCAGAAGTTGTCGCGAACCTAACAAAACTAAAAAAATTAGAGGCTCTATAGCTGCAGTCATAGCAAAAAAGAAACGAGCTGATGAAGAAGCAGCGTGCCCCCGCCGCCACACATTCTGCAATTGAACGGGCCACAGGACCGGCTGAGCGTTGCCGCTTCGCCTGACTGCCTGCGCTGGCAGCTACTTGGTTTGCTTATGTTAGTTAGCCGCCTGGAATTTTGCAAGCTAAGACAAAGTGAGCCGAGAAGTGGTTTTCGAATCCCCGAAGTTTCGTCAAGCATCACATAGCTTGTTCAAATTAGGCGGTGTGCGCCATTGACTTGCTGACGCCAGCTCAGTTGCCATTACAACTGTAAAGCTAGCGAACCCTACGCGAAGGACCTGTCATCTTTGTAGCCCGTAAAAGTGTCAGAGGCCCCATACAGAACTTATCGAACTCCGAAGAAGCATTATACCACATATATTCCCTATAACCCTAGAAACTTTATAAACCTTCACCCTAAACCCTATAAACCCTAAACTTCGTGAAGCCTAAAATCCTATATAAACCCTATAAGCCCTATAAGCCCTATATAAACCCTAAAAACCCTAAAAACCCTATGAACACTATAAACCCTATAACCCTAAACCCTATACGCGAATGATCCTTCTCAGATCTGGAAAAACCTCCCAAGCCGCCAAGGCTGGCTGGCGCAGCTGCTCAATCCACGTGAACAGGACTTCGGGATACCGAAGGTGCATTAGAAGGTTGAAGGGGTGTAGTATAGGACTTTTAAAATCTCTACGGGGTAAGACGTATAAGATTTTGGCTTACTTGGATTTCTTGGCGCGCTTGGGGGTAGACTTAGGGAGATCCTTCCCAGCAGCTCTTTTGGCCTTTGGGATCCTGGAGGCCTTTGGCCTAGAATTCGTAGACTTGTCACCCTCATCATTTGCGGTCAAGTCCTTCTTGCTCGGGGGCTTCAGCAGAGTCCTGCACCAGCATTTTTCAGCCAACCGGAAAAATGACTGACAACGATAAAAAGGAGGTCCTTTTGAGCTTCGTCTCTTCCATGATGAACCTTGCGCACCTAAGACGTTGATTTCTCAACCACTTAGCTAAGATTTTCGTCACATGTAAGGCGCGGTCGTTTTCTCAGTCTCCCTCACAATGTCCCTGAGTCTCTCCAAGGACCTCAAAAATTGCAAGAACAAACGCCATGAAACTTGACTGGGGAACCTTACTGTGTATTCAAGGTACTTCTGGCAAATAGTCTTGCGGGAGGCGGTGTAGGAGGATTTGATCTCAGCAATCTCATCATGGTAGCCGGACAGGGAGCTAGCGTAGCCATTCATCGTCGCGAGGGCCCTGGGAAGTGCCCAAGAAAAGATTGGCGTGTACTTTACGTAGAACCTATCAGGCATTCTCTAGAAACAGTGCTGTCGAAGCTCTCTTCCGCCTTTTTCCCGGAAAGCTTCTCAAGCTTCTCGGCGCAGATGTCCACTCGAGCCTGGATTCGAAGGAGCTGGTTAAGCACGGTGCCCGCGTTCTCGATGGCCTCGCAAAGCTCCATGGATTAAGAGAGAGATGAGCAGGTTTCGTTCAAATTTTGGCTTATCGGTTGGGGTTGAATTAATTTACCCAAACCCTGTAAACCCTATAGATATATATACACGCCCTATATATATAAACCCTATAACCTCATAAACTCCAAAGCCCTAGAACCATTAACCCTAAACACACCAGACCTATAAAGGCTGAGGCAGAATCCATGCTACATATTTTAGTAAGGACCCCAAACCCATACTTAGACCCAGTTTCGTGCAGTAGCAAGCCTCCAGGGGTTCTTCCTGCTCAAGATCCTTGTGGGGGCTGCTTGTTGAAGAAACCGGGGAAGTGGCCTTCTTGTGTTTCTTCTTCTTGTCCTTCTTGGCGTTCTTCCTAGTTTTTTTGTGCTTCTTCGCTCGTTCCTTCGTGGCTTTCTTGTTCTTGCGTCCTTTCTTTGGGGTTGTCTGCGACTCACTATCGCTGTCCTCATTGCACTCGCTGCAGGTGTCTGTGTCTGAGGATCCGTTGTCCTTGCAGTCTGCCAAGTCCATGTTACCATCTCCAGGCTCTGCGAGGGGGTCAATGTCACAGGACATCTGAAGCTTCTGTTGCATGTACTCCTCCTGGAGCAGCTTGAGTTGACCCTTCGTCATCTCTTCCACCCAATATTCCAACTTGTTCCGTTCGTATTTATCACGCCTGGGACAGGCGATGTTGTTTAAAGGTTGCAAGGCTTTGTAATGTTTGGCCCAGCCTCACGTGATTGTGCTTGCGGGAAGGGTGGGCGCAGTACTTGATTACCATCGCCACTCTGTGCCTAGATCAGCAGGTTTATACTACCCAAGGGAAAGCCCGAGGAATGTTGCGAATATACAAGGCTTAAATGGGCCCGCACTTGTCGAAACCAAGCTCCGACTTCATTTTCTGTGGGGTGTACCACCCACAGGTGATGATCAGCTCGTTGGACTTGCTCTTCCTGATAGCATACTCCACCAGCCGGTGCCACTCCACCTTGAAAGGGTTCTCTCTTGTAAGAACCTCCAGACGTGCAAACCCTAAATCCTACGAACCCTATAAACTTTAAAAACCCTCTACACCTACAACCCCTATAAACCTTATCAACCCGTTAAGCCCTGTAAACCCTGTCAACACTATAAACCTAAACTATGAACTCTGTAAACCCTATAAACCCACAAAGCCTATGAACCCTATAAGCCCTGCAAGCAATAGAAACCCTACAAACCCCCATAAAAACCCGACAAACCATATACATAAAGCATACGTAGCCGTAAAACCCTATAAACCTTAAAAACCCTACAGTATTACCTTATAAACGCTAAACCTAAACCCTGCCTTGCTCCCCTGGACTTGGATCATCATGCGAATCAGGTCATTTCGAGGACCTCCCCTTGAATTCCATTGCTTGACAATGTCAGGGGAAGCCGAAACTGTCTTTGACCTCTTGGTCGGGGTAACCATTCTCCGTACAACAGCTTCATAGCGCCGCCATTCCTTGCTACCCTCCTGAAACAAAAAAATGGAAGTCCCTCTGAACATTTTGCCCTACAAGTGCTGCACGAGCTCGCCTTGATTTCCTTGGATTCATCCTCAGCCTCCTCGCTGCCGCTCTCATCGGGAATTTCAATTCTGGCCTCCGGGGGGTTAGCTGCGTAATGAGGTGGTGAGCCAAAGCAATATCAATTCACCCTTAAACCCTATACACCCTATACACCCTACACCCCATATATATATAGATATATATATATAGAGAACCCTAAGCCGATCTACGTGTTCCAGCCTTGAGACCCGACGTAAGATCCGCATCGGAAATCACCATGATGTCATTCTTGTCACCCTCGTCACCAGGTGTATCCTGGAAACCCAGCAATCCAAGGTTACAAATCTATACCAGCAGCAGCAGCAGCAGCAGCAGCTACTGCCATGATGCTTGCAGGGAGAAGACTTGTCGCAGGTCCTCCATGTAGGGATCTGTCATAGAGGATTCCGGGGTTTGATGACTGGGGCTGCCAACTTCTGTCTTGATCGAGGGCGAGGGCTTGTCCTCAAGTTCCTCGGACTCCTTCTTTACTAAAGTCTGCGAAGCCTCAGCCTCTGAAGGCTTGGGTCGGGCCATCCTCAGAATCTCCAGACGCGTTCGAGCCGCCTGAGATCGCAGAACGTGCTACAGGTTAATTTTTTAAATGGGGTTTAAGATGGGAATCAATTCGTGATAAAGTGGCTGCTTGCCAGGGTACCTCTAGCTGTTCATCCAGTGGCAAGGACTTGTCCAAGTTGAATTTTTGGTCTTCCATCATGGACTGTCCCCGCAGCAGACTGTTGCAGGACCACTGTTTCGATTTCAGCTGCAAAGGGGCACTGGCAGAGGCCATAAGAGCTACCTTTCAGATCTACCACGGGTTTCTATACCTTTTCGGGCCAGTAGGGCAATAGAGCTTCCTGCAGGCACCAATGAGCTGTATAAAAACATGAGATTCTGTGTGGGGGAAAGTTGCACTAAATATGCATACGGAAATCACGCTTTTGTACGCCACTTTGGTGCCAACGTACGCCACTGTACGAAGTGACGTTCAAAGTTGCAGCTTTTTGGGTTTCTGGCTAACAGCTAATTACAGGTGATAATTTGGATCCCCACCTATAAGTCATAACCTTGGATGTACCTAGAAAAATACAAGCCTTACGATGATTCTCACAAGTAGTCCCAAAACACTTTGGCACCTATAGGCTGCAACTATCTTCAAGCGTGGCCACCTCATAGCAGGCCCAGGATGATGCTATTCCCCAGATTGCCCCACCATGCACCCATTCTCTTGCGCTTGCAAGTTACCCCTCTAGAGTATTAGCTAACCACGGGTATCAGGGAGGTGGCAAGCTGGTCGGGAAGCAAGCCTTCCATGAGCTCGCGAGTTCTAAAGATTTGGATCCACGAAGGTATTGCACCACCTCAGCCATGCGGGCATCAGCCCAGAGATCCTGGTAGAGCTCGGGCTTCGCCAAGAGCATCTTGGCATCGACGACATCAGGTTTCGCCTACCAGTTTCAGCGAGGTCAAGGGGGATCAGGGGGTGTCGGTTTTCTATACTGTAGAGATGGGCCTGAAAATCAGATGCGACAGTGTCATCCAGTAGTTTGGGAAAAGCTTTGAGGAATCGCAGTCCGAATCCCACAGGGTAGCGCCTTAGATAAACAAAAATACCATGCAGCACTTCATTCCATCAGCAAGGACCAAGCAATCACACTGAAAACTAGGCACCCAGATGCTTTGAGTTCGGCCTTCTTTCCCGTGAACCTCCTCTTGCCCGTCTTGGGATCTGTGTGGGTCGTGACCAAAGTAGCTTTGCGGGCCTTCCGCTTCTCTTTGGCAGTAAGTGGTTTCATGCTGCGGAATGCAGCAATGCCCTTGCTGTTGCTCCAGAGCCGGGTTCTTTTCGGACTCCTTGCCCCAAAACGTATCATCCAAAAAGATACACGGTAGGCCTTGGGCAGTACCAGGAAGGTAAATGCTCAAATGCTCTTAGTACATGGGACAAATCGTCAGCATGGTGTTGCCAAGCTACTCTTGTCACACGAAGGAGTTCTTGCATGCGTGGGTGCCGCCAAAGCATCGAGGATATTGGTTGCTCCAGCACCCACGTTCCAGATCTGGATAAAATCAAATAAATGGCGAGCGCCATCCTGCAAGGAACATGTCCCAATGGCATAGCGCAGAATGCAACATGTCAACGAAGCCTACACAAGTTGTCCTGGAGCAAAGAATATTGGATTCTTCCACGCATTTGCTGTCGGTGTTGCCACAGGGATTGAAGTATTCTCTTTGGGTACTGTGTCGAGATATTGCCACAAATGTGCTGCACACCATCCCGAAGCTTATCAGGAATCTTCCACGCTTCGCCTTGAGAATGCTGGCAAGCAAAAGCCTCAGCGAAGAAGGGGTAAAGGTTCTGGGAGTACTACGAAAAGAAAAAAGACACACGCAGTAAGAAATATATATACAACCCTGGCAATTTTTTGGGGGGGTTATAGGGCTTATAAGTCCTAACATAAAAACCCTAAACCCCAATATAGGCGCTATGAGCCCTATACGCCCTATAAACCCGATAAACCCTATAAACCCTATAGACCCCATAAACCCCATAAACCTTATAAACCCTATAAACCCTATAACCCCATAAACCCTGTAAACCCTCCTATGAATCCTTTAGGGCTTATGGGTTTATAAAGCGTATAAGGGTTATATAGGCTTTATTTGAAGAGTTAAGAGTTTGGGGTTATACGGCTTATAGGGCTCATAGGACTCATTGGGTCTTTTAGGTTTCGGGTTTATAGGGTTTAGGGTTATAGGATTTAGGGCTTGGTGTAGTATAGGGTGTGTAGGGTTGAGGTTTATAGGTTTCTCATGGGATTTATAGGGATTCATGGTTTGGGATTTATGTAGGATTTGGGGCCCAAAGGTTGGAAATTCAGGGCGTGGATTCTGGACAAGCAGCCCCATGCCGGATGGCGTAAGGAGGTCCATTGGATTCCCAATGCGATTTGGAAGTTTCTTAGCCCTAGCATACCCAGGCCAGAAATCAATCTCCAGCGCACCAACCTCCAAGCCTCCAATTTTCAGGCATCGTGAAAGAATGGCTTCTCCGGCGAATACTTCCAGAGCATCATACACCTTCAATAGCGGAAGCCCCGCAACCCCACATCAACTCCAAAGTTTTGCAACGGTACATGATACCCTGCTACCCTACCTCGTCCAAAGCAAGCTCTGCGTTGAAGAACAAGAGCACTATAGCGCAGAGCAGGACCTCAGTTTAGGCTGGGGTCGCATTAAAGTTTGGGAGATGCTGGGGTAACTCCACTCTCTTCCTGCACCAACATTCGCCTAGACACGCCTGGGGCACCAAGTTGGTGAAGCCTCTTCAGTGTGCTTTCCAGCGATGTCAGGGCCATGGTTCAAGAAGCTGGCGCATCTACACAAGGTACAGAGCTTGATGACAAGCCTCGAAAAGGTTTTTTTCCACTAGAGCGGTCTGATTAATTATGGGGAAATTATACAGGGCCCTACAAAAACTTGGTAACATGCCTTATTTTTAATCCCTATAATGATTCAGACCAGGGACTGGCATTAAGCGTACACCATTCGCAAAGACCGCCCTTCTCCAATCGTGCTTCGGTTACCCTACCCTTTCAAGGCCCAACGTGCGGTACGTAGCCCACTATAGGGAATATGTATGAACAAGTTGGGGTCCCATATAGGTCTCTGGATAGAAAAAAGTATCAAAACCCGAAACTTCTACCATACCCGTGCCCATAAGCAAGGCAGAGAGGGCTTGGGCGCACCTGGAGGCTGATAGAAGCGATGCCGCTTCTGCCAAGACGCGCTCATCCAAGCACCTGGCACAAGTGTTGCGGTGGGTTGTTGATCCTAAGGATGGTTTCAGGCATAGCTTGCTGAGGCATGCGTTGGGACATTTTGAGCTGAAGCGTCACGCGCGGCTAGCCACACAAGCACATCCCCTGCGCTTGAAGGGTAGCAAGTACTGCAAAAGCGTTTTTGAGAAATGGCACGGGATTTCAAGGCTAACCCACCCTAGCACCAGCCAACTATTTTGACGTAGTCCCTTAAGTTGCTACAGTACGCCTTACCCGTGCCAAGTATAAGGCCTCGCTGGCCATCAAAACCAAAACACGCATGCTGCTAAACTGCTCAGTCATGGCACACGTGAAAGTGTGAAAGCACCGACTTGGGCAAACCATGGCAAGAAGCGTTGAGGCTTCCTACCCTCAGGGACTGCAGTCTTAGAAGAGGCCTCTACATCATCCACATCTACCGTTTTAGTCCATACATCATAGTCATGTTTTCGAGGTTACGCAAAAGTCATCCATGATGTCATCGCACCTTCTCAGACCTCAGCAGTCATTGGCGCAAGCAACAGCATTCCAGCGCTTGCCGCGAAAAATCGTGCGCAAGCAAGTGCCACATCCAAGCACAGCCCAGCGACAGCTGGAGCAACCAAGAATGTACTTACCACACGCGCTGTACCCTGTGTAGTCGTAATCAGGGTACAGCTTCGTGCTCGCATCGGTGGCTGCTTTTGACTTAGATTTAGCCTTCGCCTTGGCCTTAGCCTTGGCTGTTGCCTTGGGCATCGCCGTGGCTTTGGTCGCGGCCTTTGCTTTTGCCTTCGGCAAGAGCTCGCTCGAATCATCAGCTGCTGATGCTACTCCCTCAGGCTTCTTTGTTCCTCTACCCTTGCCCTTGACCTTCGAACCAGTGGCCACTCTCGACGACTCACTCTGATGCTTCCGCTTCCCGCCACCGCGGCCATCATTGCCACACTCAGCCTCCATCTTCTTGGAGGCTCCATCCGAAGCCTTCCCCTTCGCCCGGGAGTTGTTTTTCTTCATGTTCTTCATGATGTCGCGCTTGCTCCTAGTTCGACGAACTCGCCTGAGGCTAGCCCTCAGGTTCGATCTCAACTCGTTCTGGGCTTCTAGGGAAACAAGTGGCGCCCCATCCTTGCCATCCAATAGTGGCGATGGAGATCCTGGCTCCTGCGACAATCAAACCCTAAAGCTACACAAACCCAAAAAAATCTGAACCCATCTTACCGAACAACATTCAGAACACAATAACCTGGACCCCCCTTCTAAACCGACGCAAACACCAGTCCATCTTGACCTTCTCGGGCGAAGACTCGACCTCAACCACCTGATAGGACTTGGAATCAGCTTCCGAAATCTTCGCCAAGGGTTCCTCAATTGGCCGCTCCACGAAGGTATCTGCCTTAAGGGATACACATGGTTAGTACCGTAGTATTCCTAAACTGCTTCCTTCAATGTGAAAACCTTGACCAAGAGTGAGCCTGGTCAGGAGGGTTTTGCCAAGCTGGAGCCACGGCGTCAGCATCATCTGGAAACAGTTGCCGACGAACTGGATCACCTGAGGGGGGTTGGGCAATATTCATGGATTGCTTTTCCAAGGGGATGTGTTAACAATTGCGCCTTTCAGGAGTGCGCTGTCTGGCTTCTCTGTTGAGGCTGCAGCCCGCGGGGGAGAACCCATCATCAACATGACTGCGTCACGGCGGGTGTTCGGGTTGCCATGTCCACCCTCCAGGATGCTGATCTGCTGCATTATGTTACTCAATTCCTCCTCCTTCGTGTGGCTCATGGCACCATCAACCGAATCTGAGCTGCCAAGCTTCAAGGTCTCAGGCATGCTCTCAAAGGACCTCTTGCTCCTGCAGCGCACAAGCGCGGGCTTGGAAACTACTACCTGTGAATCCTCAGCCGGATCAAGCGAGCCCTTGGATCCAGCATTCCGAACCTTGTCCGCATCATCATCGCTACTAAGGGGGCCCATGCCAGCAGGCCTCAGATCGCCAGCCACTTTCTCAGGCTCACGCTCCGTGGGGGTGTCTTCCTCGTTGACAGGCTCACCATCAACCTCCGCATCGCTCTCCTTCGCCTCCTCCTCCGCCTCTTCCTCCGCCTCCTCGTCGCCCTCCTCATCATCCTCCTCCTGTCCGCCATTCTCATCACCTTCGCGGTCGCCTGCAGGGCTGTCCTCCACGGACTCGCCTGCCTCCTGGCGGATCTGGGCAATCAACTGGAAGAGCTGCCGCACAGCCAGTACCTCACATTAGCCCCTATATATGTTTCCAGGAATGCAAATAACAGTGATCACCCTGACAAACTAAAAAAATGTTGCCATATGCCAAGAAAAATTCGCGTGGGGTTTGCTTCCTCTTAGCAGAGTCTTTGGCGCGACGGAGGGTGTAACTATAAAGGCGACGCAAGTCCCAGGAATCCATATACACCTGGCGAACGCTTGGCACCACCTCCACCGTATCGTAGAGATGCTGGACCTGAGTCATTCTACACTGGCACCCTCTAAGCAAGCCCTTGAATCCGTTACATTTCACAAAACCTTGAAAACATGAACCAACAAAACCAAAGGAACTGCAGACTCAAGACCCTTGATGGGGATTCTCCTCCCGCTGAGAACC